TGGTCCGTAAATTAGATCTCGCTCGGGACGCGCGCTGTCTGTGGAGGTTTGGCCAGGACCGGTTCCAGAATTAAATCAACATATTTTATGTTCCGTCCATTGCCGATCACTGCTATTTCGAGAGTGAATCCCACATAAATATGCGGATGTCATTCCCGAAACTTTGCAGGGTGTAGCCTATGTAAAAACGAAAGTTTCATACAAATTATGAATGGATTATACCCTAGAAAGTGCGCAAAGCGCGCTCTTTTTATCACTAAAAAGCCTCACTCATCTTTGTTCATCGCGATCTTACAAAGTTCTGTTATAATCAATGAAGCTCTCTAAACTGCACAAAGAATCTCTTATTTACATCGCGTCTGCACTTAGTCATGAGATGATTCACGAGCATGCAAAACTGCACTTAAAAACTGTATAATATTTTTATGATTATTATATTAAGTATATTTCTTCTGTATTTTCTGTTTTCTATTTTCTGATTTGAAGTTAAAGGATTTTAAAAAATTGTAATACATTTATGAATTTGACAACTGTAATATAAAAATAAATATATTAATTAAATATGTGGAATATATTTAATGAAATATTTGCAATAGTTGAGTAATTTAATAATAAAATGGCCCCTCAAGGTACAGTTACTATGTAAAATCATTTCTTACCCTGTTTCACACAACTTCATTGATTAGATGTCACTATATTATGACATCTAGTGGAGACAAGAAGTAATAACAGTTATTTTCACCAATAATTATTTGTGACTCGGGATCCCATACAACTAAAATTAAGATGAAACAAGGGCAAAGAAAGCACACGTTTGTGCATCATATATTACAGGTTTCCCATTCTCATCTCAATTTGCAAAATGTTAACATCTCATGACCTTGTGCATTTCACATATCATCCTGTCATTAAAATGCAACAGTGGTTAACCGATGCTCATAGCCAATGCTCTTGCATATTCACGTCATATATTTGTCTAAATAGTCATGGCCATATGTGGTATTGAATGAATGCCTGAAAAATAATTAACCTGAATGTTGCATACTAACTGGCTGTATCGGACAGTGTTGCATTGACCAAATAAGAGAAACACGAAAACCAGTTACATCTACTTTTGCTCAAGTGATATTGGAACATTAGTTACTACATCATTTGTTGATAAATACAAAAGAATAGCTTCTTTAGGAATTGTTTTAAACTATTTTCCACCACTAAATGTGGATAAATGAATTACCCGTTGTGTTTTTTAGTACATCACTTGATGCCAAAACTGCAAGGCAAATGCAGTAGGCTATGCGGTATCTGATTACAACAGGGCGTTGCATTAATACTAATTATGGATTTGACAAATTGCAGCCTCTGTTGGACAATCATTTTGCAATCAATTTTATTTGGTCTCTGATGCTTCAGAGCTGCATCATGCTGATGAGACAAATGAGGCCTCCTACTTCTATGCTGCCATATGACTGAGGCCGAATACTGAGTGATATAAATGTAACTACTTATCCTCAGAGCTCCATAATCACAAAGTACATCCTGCAATTCACAGAATGATAGCTATGTTGAAAATTAACATCCTCATTCAGAATGTCAGACGTATTTGAAGTCTTGGTCTACAATTACCTTCCAATAAGTCATTTTGGCTTAGCTTTGGGAAGTGAGAAAGTGTTTAAATGTGTTAATCAATGTCCATTATAAAAACACACACCTGTCATCAGCTTTCTCTCCTCTTAAGATCTTAGACGGCCATTTTATACGCTCCCTAAATCAGATCTCTCTCTGTTTGGTTTCATAGCATTACTGGCTATTGTTTTCTAATCAGACTTTATAAAGAAGAAATCAGCATGCATGTGAACGTGAGCTCAATTGAAATGTTTGAAAATAGCTGCATCAGTGGATCCTGGTTCGGCTGTTGACAGTCACTGAAAGGTTTTTGTTGCTAGGAGAAATATGCACGTCTGTTCCTGCAAACTCCCAAATGCGTCCCCAAAAGGCATCCAGGATATGCAGATTTGAGAACACTTTGTATTGTAGTGCTGTTGCTTGATTTGGTGCAGAACATATGTGACCCTGGACCACAAAACCAGTCATAAGTAGCATGGGTATATTTGTAGCAATAGCCAAAAATGCATTGTATGGGTCAAAATGATTGATTTTTCTTTTATGCCAAAAATCATTAGGATATTAAGTAAAGATAGTGTTCCATGAAGATATTTTGTAAATTTCCTACCGTAAATCTGTATAAATCTCAATTTCAAAAAATGTACCCTTATGATTGGTTTTGTGGTCCAGGCTCACATATTTCGATTTTTGAATTAAGAACTTAAAGCAGTTTTGCTTTGAAACAATTTATATGTTTCTTCGTAATCTCACTGTACAATATACAATGTATAACAATATAAACTTTACAGAACTCAAGGAAGCTCAACAATATACAGTACATCCCAAAAGTTGCAAGTTACAATAAGAGATCAGTAATGAAGCATTACATGCTAGAAAAAATAATCTTTGTTAATATATACAAGAAAAGTTTAAGGTCTTTGAGTTCTTTGAGTTCTTTGAGTTCTTTGAGTTCTTTGAG